CCACACCAATTAAAAAACGACGGAACGCCCCGCTCGCCGGAACGGACAGGTGTGAGGGATCGTCACTGCAGACCACGTGAATTGGGTATTTTAATAAAAGAGAGAAAATATTATTTACCAGACTTTTTTTTTTTTCTTTCTTGCTTTGGCAAATTGTACACTATACTTAAGAGTTCACCACCAAAAACTGATTAAAAATATTTTTATTGACTTCAGAGAGGAAGGGGGGTGGAGAGAAACATCAATGATGGGCAGCCCGGGCGTGTGCTCCCTCTGAACCAGGAGCAGCGCCGGCCACAACCAGAGCAGAAGCTTCTCCATCCTGGGAGCACAGCCAGACAGACTCCTGCCTGTGAGAGGGGCAGAGACTCCGAGCCAGCCACACACGGCCTCGCACACCCTGCTCTTATCCAGACGGAGCTGTGCTCACACCGCCGTCTGGCAGGTCCCGGCACCTGGAGTGTGGGAGAGATTTGCTGCAGGAACAGACGGCCCTCATGTCCTAACCGTATGGACGAGTAACAGGCCAGAATGACATGATGGAGACTCTAACTGGCCTGCTTTAGAGTTTGACATTTCTGGGGGAACAAGAAGAGGCAAAACCAAAATAAGACAATCCCGGATTTCAGGGAAATGAGCGACACGTGTGAGGGACTCAGCTTAGCGGTCCCCGGGAGGGGCTGTATGAAGTGTTCCGCACCGTATTATTTTATTATCTCACTCCACCAGCCTTTATAACGAGGGTATCGTCTCCGCATGCTGGAGAGAAAGGTTCCTTGAAGAAATGAACCTCCTCGGAGTCGCAGGGTCCGTGCTTCTGTGGTTCTGAGGCTGAGAACACCCCTCGGCCGTTCCGTGTGGCTCTCAGGCCGTGGGAGCGGACTGCTTGTGAGCACACAGCTTGCAGGGCGCCTTGAAATGGCTAAGGCAGCGGGAGTCTCCTGGGCCACAAAATGCTTTAAATGTAAGACAGCTCACCTACCACCGTTCGCTCTCTGAGGCTGTCAGCCCTGAAACAGCAGCGCTCGGGGGCTGAGGGCGGGCGGCAGTGACGCCCAAGGCTTCCCAGCTCCTCTAATCAGCGCTGAGCCCTCCGGAAGCAGCTGCCTCCTTGTCCTCACCGTGCCTGGAAGCTCCTTGGGTTTGATCCTTCCCCCGTGGGCGTGGGCCAAGGGTTAATGTCCAGGCCTCGGGAGTAACTGATCTTCTCCGTGACTTAACGTCGGCGCCTTCCTCCCACTCCCAGCACGCCCGCCCGGGGAAAACGACGGAATCCTAAGTACACGATAACAGGTCTCCGTTAATTCACTGTGAACCTGACCATGCTTATGTGTTACTCGGGCGCTGACCGCCGAAAGTGGCTGACAGCTCCCTCCTCCGTCCTGCGAGTGACAGCACGGCCTGGTGTGCAACGACACGATTTCAATGTCCTAATCACCTCGAACGCACCTCTCTTCCCGGGCAGTCTCACTCCTCGCCGCTGTGCGAGCTGGAAAGCAGGCAGTGCGACCGGGGCCCGTGCCTCCACAGAAACACACACCTGGGACCCTGAGCCTGAGCCGCCACGGGCACTGACTCACGTGTCACACGGGTGTGGGGGGAGAGCAGCCTTGTTGGAAGTTGCAAACGCCCAGCAGCGCCTGCCTGACGGCTGAGCGCTCTCCTGTTTCCACACCTTCCTGTGCTGCGTGGCCCGGGGAAGCGCCCGGGGGAGGCCGGGTGCATCTCCCTGCCTCGTCTGTGTCCTGTGCATCTCCCTGCGTCATCTGTGTCCTGTGCATCTCACTGCGTCATCTGTGTCCTGTGCATCTCACTGCGTCGTGCTCATTGCTGTGCATCTCCCTGCCTCGTCTGTGTCCTGTGCATCTCCCTGCGTCGTGCTCATTGCTGTGCAGCTCACTGCGTTGTGTGTGGGCAGCCGGCTGCGGGGCAGAGTGCCTGGCTCAGGCGCTCTGTGCTCATGTCCTCCCCCATCCTCACAGTTAAAACGGAGGCAAACGTAAAGACCAGGGCCCTCCCTGCTCCTGGTGGCGCTGTCACGGGAAGGCGCAGGCTCCTGGGTGGGCGTCTTCCGAACCTCTGGTCACACACTCCTGTGTCCCCGGAGGAGGGCCTCCTGCTCCAACCGGAAGCAGACGGGCTTTCAGTCCGGTGGCCCTGGGCAGTGTGTGGTCGGGGTCATTCTCAGGAGCCGCCTTGGACGTGTTCCAGAGAAGAGAGACGGGCAGGCTATCGCCAAGTGGAGCCTGGGAGGAGGGCGAGGAGCGGGGCGCAGGAAGCGGGGAGGGTGGGGGATGGAGGGGGGCGCGCCCTGGCAGCCTGTCCGTCCATCCGTCTGCGGGAGCGGTCTCTGTGGGGCGGCCTGCCAGGCCGGGCCAGGCTTCCTCCCATTGATGGCGGGCCGGCTGGGGGCGGCCGCGGCGGGCCCTTCTAGGAAAGTCCTCACCCGCTTCCTGCCATTGTGGAGGCTCGAGCTGCACCAGCGGCTGGGAGCAGGCGGGGCCGCGCTTCCTGCCTCTCGCCTGCACCCCAGCCGGAGGGGGGAGGGCCGGGGAGGGGGCAGGCCAGGCCCCCGATGGACGTTTACCCCAGTGTCCCAGCCGCACAGCCCATGCCGAGGGGGTGCTGCTGAGGGGTGCTGGTGAGGGTGCTTGTGAGCTCTGTGGCCACGTGGGCAGCACGGCAGAGGCTGGATGTTCATACGTGTTCTTGAGACCAGGGAAAACCCTCTCTCTGACGGACGGACTCACTGGGCATCCATCAGGCAGTCATCACCGATGCCAAACACCAGGGCCAGAAGCTCACCTGCAGGCAGTGCTCAGGCTGTTGTTTAAAGAGTTAACTGTGAGGACAAAAACGAATGAGGGCTTCATAGTGTTTGCACATCTCTTCCTTCTGCCCCGAGCTCTGTGCTCCCCATGTTTCTGGGAGAGGATTCTAAAAGCCGTTTGTCATTCTCTTGTTTCCTTCTTTCCTGCAAAATTACAACCTTCCCGCCACAGCTGTCTAGGGGGCACACTCGGGAGGGACTAGGGCAGCTGATGCACCCACTGCGGCCGCCCCGTCCTGGTGGGTCCAGCCCCTGGGAGACCCCGTTACTGCCCCTGGGAGACCCCTGCTCTGCCACTGGTTACAGGTCACAGCCCACTGCTGCCACCATAGGTCACAGGTCACAGGTCACAGCCGCCTTTCCCACCAGCAGGCTCACACCTCATTAACGGGCTGCATCCATGTGTCCTGGGGTCAGAGTCAGCTCCACAGGTCAGCTAACTCGTGTATGCCCATTGCCATTTTCTGCAGCTCAGAGCTCAATTTGGAGACCAGGCTTTATTTATTTATTTACACACACACACACACACACACACATGCAGATACACACATGCACACACATACACATGTACATGCACATATACACACATATACGCACACATATACACATACACACGTATACATGTGTACATACATACATACACAAGGTGCACACATGTGTGCACACATACATACACATATACATATACACTCACACGCACACGTGCACTCATATACACACATGCACACATATACGTGCATACACACATATACACACACATGCACACATATACACATACATATACACACACACTAGTCTATACACACACACACACACACACACATTTATCTTCACGCGTTTCGGAAGGCCCGCCCAGCACCCAGGCTTTGTGTGGGACGCACTCCCTCTCCTTGGGGGGGTGCTCCGGGCTCCGGTGCGGGACTGTTTCCGGTCCGTCCTGCTGCTGGGAGTGGAGGCTGTGAGCACCGCGCAGACGTGACCCCGCTGGCCTCAGAGCAGGCTCCGCTCGGTCTCAGGGCCCAGGGCCATGCTCGCCCGGAGGCCCCCTCGCCCGGGGGCTCCGGGGGGCCTGGCTGGGGGGCCCGGTGGGGCTGCCTGTGCCGCTCGGGTTTCCCAGGAGCTCAGCTGTCCTGTCTGAGCAGCTGCCGGCCTGGCCAGCGGCAGGAACCACGTGTAGAGGTCTCCCAGAGCCCGGAGCCGTCAGCGGCACCCAGCCCTCTGTCCCTCCAGCCCATCCCCCCGCCCCGCAGTGCTGGGTGCTCCGAACCCAGGACCCATCAGGCCTGTATCACATGGGGGGGGGGTCCTCTCGGCGTTAGCACAATCGAGGAAAAGCCCTTGTATAGACATTTGTATTGATGTCAGAGAGGAAGGGAGAGGGAGAGAAACAATGGTGAGAATCATGGATCGGCTGCCTCCTGCACACCCCCTACTAGGGAACGAGCCCACAACCAGGCCTGTGCCCTTTGTTGGAATCAAACCTGGGACCTTTCAGTCCACAGGCCGACGCTCTATCCACTGGGCCACAGGGCCAGGGCGTGGTTTGCCTGTCTCTGAATTATATCCTCAGAGGTCGCTCTGACCAGGTCAGCTTGTCACTCGGCCAGTCCAGCCCCATGCACCGCAGCACAGCAGCTCTGGCTCAGTGTTGCCGGCAGCTCCCTCAGGTCCCAGTTGTCCAGTTATTCGCGGCACCGTCTTCAGTGGACACAGCGGGCATAGCCGGAGCCGGGCGAGCTCTGGTCCTTCACGCTGGCCTCTGTGAGCGTGTCTCCTTGTCACAGTGAGCGTGCCTCCGTGAGCGTGTCTCCGTGAGCATGTCACCGTGAGCGTGTCTCCTTGTCACTGTGAGCGTGCCTCCGTGAGCGTGTCTCCGTGAGCGTGTCTCCTTGTCACTGTGAGCGTGCCTCCGTGAGCGTGTCTCCGTGAGCGTGTCTCCTTGTCACAGTGAGCGTGCCTCCGTGAGCGTGCCTCCGTGAGTGTGTCTCTGTGAGTGTGCCTCCGTGAGTGTGTCTCCGTGAGTGTGCCTCCATGAGCGTGTCTCCTTGTCACAGTGAGCGTGCCACCGTGAGCGTGTCTCCGTGAGCATGTCACTGTGAGCGTGCCTCCGTGAGTGTGCCTCCGTGAGTGTGCCTCCGTGAGCGTGTCACTGTGAGCGTGCCTCCGTGAGCGTGTGTCCGTGAGCATCTCCGTGAGTGTCTCTGTGAGCATGTCTCTGTGAGCGTGCCTCCATGAGCGTGTCTCCGTGAGCATGTCACCGTGAGCATGTCTCCGTGAGCGTGCCTCCGTGAGCGTGTGTCCGTGAGAGTGTCTCCGTGAGCGTGCCTCCGTGAGCGTGCCTCCGTGAGTGTGTCTCCGTGAGTGTGTCTCCGTGAGCGTGCCTCCGTGAGCGTGTCTCCGTGAGCGTGTCTCCTTGTCACAGTGAGCGTGTCTCCGTGAGCGTGTCTCCGTGAGCGTGTCTCCGTGAGCGGCTCTTTCCAACGTGAAGCAGACACCGCCCGCAGACGCCCGAGCTGGCCTTCGGGATTGTATTCTCTTCCTGGGTTCTTTTTTGATGTGTTTTTTATTGTTGACAGTATTACGGATGTGTCCCCTTCCTCCCGGCCTTCATCCGCTCCTGCCCGTGCCCATGGTCCGCGGGCCGCGCACCTACGTGTAAGTTCTTTGGCTTCTCCCTTCCGGTCCCCAGCCCCACACTCATCAGACCCGCATGCGGGTGAGATCAGTTCCAGCCTTTCCATCCCTGGCCTGACAGCGCGGGCAGCAGAGACAAGGGGAGCTGCTGGCCTCTCCTTGGCCACAGCAGCACCTGCCGTCCACCCCCCCTCCGCTTGCAAAAAGCGCCCCCCCCACCCCTCCTCCCGGGGTGCTCCTGGGGAGAAATGGCCTCCAAGGCCGGCGGCAGGATGTGCTCGCGGTTTCCGCCCTCGGGCAGCTGCTGGACGTGGGGCCCGGCTGTGACAGCTTTATGGCTCCGGACTCCTCCTGGGGGCTCTGCCTCCGCTGCTTCCTGAGCAATGGGTGCTCCGTGCCAGGCCTCCGGGCGGGGCTCAGAGCTCGGACCCCTGCTCCCCACAGGTCCCCGAGAGCTGCTGGCATTGCCTCGCCCGGTCCCAGAGGAGGCTCTGAGCAAGGAGGATCCCCCCCCCCCCCCCGTGCCGGCCAGGCCTGGCAGGGGCCCCGGTGCTGGGTTAGGGTTAGGCCCGGTGCTGGGAGGGGGGGACGCAGTGCCGGTTCCCAGAGGAAAGGTGTGTCATGGGTCACGGTCTCAGTGCTGTTCCCACGGAGGCGGGTGAGGCCGGCTCTCCCGGAGCAGGGCCTGGGTGGATGGAGCAGCGGGGGCTCTGACTCAGAGGGCGCCCAGGGCCGCTAGCTCAGCAGCTGGAGCATCACACGCTCTGACACGAGGCCTCTCCCTCCCCGGACCCAGGGCTGGGAGAGAACACGGGGAACAAGGCTCCTATTTGCAGGGAAATAGATGATTCCCGTCAACGTGCCGAGCATCGGGGGGCTCCCAAGCCGCCAGGGCGCCCCGGACCTCCATCGCTGCCAGTCTCACCCCGATGAGCGACTCAGGGAGTGTCCCCGCTAAGACCCATGTTTGCCGTGATCCAGCATGACCCCAGGCGTTGCAAGTCATCTCCGCAGCTCCGATGCGAAGAGGCTGGCTCTGAGACGTCTTTCCCTCCCCGCCGCTGTCCATGATGGAAACAAAACAATGGCGTTTGAGAACTTTATATTCCTGAGAGTCCAGAGGATGTCCAACTGCCGGTTGTGGCCCCATCCCTGTTGTACATCCTTCTCTCAATCCGGGACCGCTGGCTCCTAACTGCTCACCTGCCTGCCTGATCACCCCTAACTGTCTCTGCCTGCCTGATCATCTGTAACCACCTCTGCCTGCCTGCCTGATCACCCCTAACTGTCTCTGCCTGCCTGATCATCCGTAACCACTTCTGCCTGACTACCTGATCATCCCTAACTGTCTCTGCCTGCCTGCCTGAACACCCCTGTCTCTGCCTGCCTAATCATCTGTAACCACCTCTGCCTGCCTGCCTGATCACCCCTGTCTCTGCCTGCCTAATCATCTGTAACCACCTCTGCCTGCCTGCCTGATCACCCCTGTCTCTGCCTGCCTAATCATCTGTAACCACCTCTGCCTGCCTGCCTGATCGTCCTAACTGCTTTCCCCTGCGGGCCTGATCACCCCTGACGGTTCTCCCTGCCATCTGATTGCCCCTAATCATTCTGCCTGTCTGCCTGATTGCCCCTTACTGCCTCTGCCTCGGCCCCGCCACCGTGGCTTTGTGGGGAAGGATGCCTGGAAGACGTCTGGCCTATCCGGTCTAATTAGCATATTGCCCATTAATCAGTGTAGATAAATCCAACCCCAGGACCAGGCATTGCTGGGGATGAGTCTGTGCTCCCGGAACCCACAGGTTGACATTCCAACCCCCACGCCCCAGGATGAACCCGGATGCGGTGACAGGCCATTGCTGACATCCTTCCTTCAGACGAGGTCCTGGGACCCAGACACGTGTTCTGTCTCCGTGCTCCTCCGATCCGTGCGAAGTTCCCGGAGGCGGGCCGTAAGCGGGTGCTCTGGAAAGATCAAGCGAGACCCAGGGCTGTGGCGTGTGTGGTGTTCGTGGTGCAGGCCCTGGAGAATAGCTGATGCTCAGCGACCACAGCGTACCCGCCGGTGTGTAGCAGTCACTTCTGGAAGCCTGGCCAGAGCGAGCCAGCAGCGCCGGGGGTGCCCCCGCTGTGTGCGGGGCCCCGTTCAGGGCCCCGTTCCCTCGGGCCGGGCCTGCTCTCAGGCGTGGCCTGCTGGTGCTCACGCTGCTCCTGCCTCCACGTCACGGGCGGGAAGCGCATCAGGCCCGCAGGCGGTGGACGCACGGGCTGGAGACTCCTCTTGGGGCTGACTGCGGGCCCCGCTGAGAACACCGGCTCCTGTGGAAAGCGGGAAGGAAGGCGTCGGCGGGGACAGCAGGCTTTGCTGCAGACACGCATTGACAAAGGCTGTGTTATGACTGTGTGGAGGCGGCGGTGAGGATGGCGGTGATGACCATGACGAGGAAGTTCATGTGCGTTCATACACGGGCGCTGCTGAGCCGAAGAGCTCCCGCTCCAGCGGGCGGAGTCAGGGGAAGGGCCGGTGCCACTGGCAGCAGACAGAGCCGCGCCCGGCGGCTGAGACGGGGAGGACGGATGGCACGGAGGCCGCTCAGAAGTTCAATGTGATCTCGTGCTGATCATCACCATCACACTTCTCCTCACACAGTGACCTGAGGGGGCGTCTAAGCAGTTATTAGGAACGACACATTAATAGGATGGGTTAAGAAAGACGGTGAACTCTGAGACGTCTTTCCCTCCCCACCGCTGCCCATGACGAAAACAAAACAAGGGCGTTGGAGAATCTGTGTTCCTGAGAGGTCAGAGGGCAGGGGGAGCCATCCACAGAGGAACAACCAGGGGGCTTGTGCTTGAAGAGGAATAAACACAGGTGTCCGTGCCAGCCGTGTGCTTCACACGGGAGGGACCCTGGTGTGCGTGTGGGAGCATGTTTACATCCTGCTTTTCAGACCCATAGACTGAAGCATCGTCTCGGTGCTGATTAGCGAAATGCTCCCCATTTCTGCATTATAACCCGCTGGTCCCCTGCAGGCTCTTCGGACCGAAGACAGAGCCCGAAGTGGTGGCTGCGCCATCACTCCTGAGAGAATTGTCCTGTGGTTCCAGTCACACGTGGTATTTGTTAATCGATTGATGCCTTTTTTTTAAATATATATTTTATTGATTTTTACAGAGAGGAAGAGAGAGGTATAGAGAGTTAGAAACATCGATGAGAGAGAATCATAGATCAGCTGCCTCCTACATACCCCGCACTGGGGATGTGCCGGACATCAAGGTACATGCCCCCGACCGGATGACCGGAATCGAACCCGGGACCCTTCAATTTGCTCTATCCACTGAGCCAAACCGGTTTTAGCTGATTGATGTCATTCAATGTCTCCCCTTTATTGAGGCATCACAGACAAATAAAATTTGTACATATTTAAGATGCTCAGTGCCATGTTTGGATATAGGTATACTTTATAGGTGGTTGCCAGGATGAAGTTAATCAACATTTCGTCATCTGACATTGTTGCCTTTTTATTATTTTTTTATTTCGGTGCGGGAAAAACCAAAGAGCTACTGCCTCAGCTAGTGTCAAGTACAGAGAGCAACATTGCTAACCGCCCGAACTTATTCACTGTTCAGCTCTATCAGTTCTTTATTCGTTTTCAGAAAATGACAATTTTAGAAAATTCTTTATCTCTTTTAGGCATTTTCTATCAGATATTTTTACTTCTTGTCAAATGAATTAAAGCAAAAAAAAAAAAAAAGAAAAGAAAGAAAAGAAAAGTCTCGATCCTAACACAAAGGGTGGATCCTAGAGGATATTCCCGTAGATAATGCGTGTTTTGTGCCCGTTATCACCGTAAGGCTGTCCTTTCTCCGCTCGGGGCCGTGGAGGTCCAGCAGGCACCCTCCCCCTTTAAACTTCTCTTCATGCTGCCTCCCTCCTCCGGAGAGCAGATACCGTCCATGACAGATGTGAGCTGCGATGTGCTGTGCTGCGATCCCATTATCTTCCTCCACAGACGCTTTTCCTCCTGCGTCTGGTGAGCAGTTACCGGGCAGCTGGCCCAGCCTAATCCGGTTAGGCCCGAGGACCCCGGGCGGCCTCCTTTCCTGAGAGCGGTGATGTGGGCTCCCAGGGCGCCAGGAGGCATCGCCCGGGACATGCACTGGCCACTCAGGGTGGAGGACAGGATCCCTCTGGCTTGGTTGATTCTGGGGCCTCGTTTTGGTATAAATTTCCAAAAGTCCTTTCCCGCAGCTTCTCAGCCTGTGAGTTCTGGTCCCTGCTGGTTCCGTTCCCTGTGAGTTCTGTTCCCTCGAGGCCCTGGAGAGTGGGGACCCGCCGCTGCCCCCTGCCTGAATACGCCTTCGGCCTGTGCCTCGTGGTTCGTTGCCCTGCAGGCTTTGGGACCACTGGGAAGAAGGCTCCGGTTTGCTCTGCTCTGGCGTCTACATCTGGGTTTCTGTGGTCCCGGTTAACTGTCAGAGCTTAGCCTAGAGTTCACGTAGGCCCATGGTCAGCAAACTGCGGCTCTTTGGCTCCTGGAGTGTGGCTCTTCCACAAGATACCACGGCCTGGGCGAGTCTATTTTGGAGAAGTGGCGTTAGAAGAAGTTTAAGTTTAAAAAATGTGGCTCTGCAAAGAAATTCCAATTGTTGTCCTGTTGATAGTTGGCTCTGTGGACGAATGAGTTTGCTGACCGCTGGCCTAGCCCATTGGGTTCATTCTCAGAGACGCACCCGTGTTTAAAACCCAGTCATACTCTTCTCGAGTCTCCCGTCCTGCGAGGAGTGTCCAAATCCACCCGTCAGGCGGAGGGCCCTGCTCTGACCGCCTCGTGGACCATTCTCGCTCCACGCTTTACGGTTGAAGCCTGAGTTCTGTGGTCACTCTTGCTGTCCAAAGCCAAGGTGTTGAAATTGCTACCCATACACACATCACGTTCTCTCATAAGCCTCTCTTCTGATTGGAACACAGAGCTCTGCCGACACAGGTGCCTGCAGTTTCATAAAAGTCAGCTGCCCGCGAGGCACCGCACGCTCCCCGTATGTGGATGGTTTTCCTTTGAGTCAAGAACATCCCACTAGCCCGGCCGGTGTGGTGCAGTGGTTGAGCGTCGACCTGTGAACCAGGAGGTCCTGGTTCCATGGCCGGGTTGTGGGCTCGATCCCCAAGGTGGAGCGTGCAGGAGACAGCTGGTGAATGATTCTCTCTCATCATGAATATTTCTCTCTCTCTCTCTCTCTCTCCCTTCCTCTGGGAGATCAATACAAATATATTGGAAAGGAAAAGGACATCGCCCTCATTGCTAACCTGTGTCCTTTGTCCTCTGACAGCGCTGGGACAGCTGGGGCTGGAGAGCAGCCGGACCCTCAGGACTGCCCGAGGTAGGTGTGGCGCCCAGCGCCCGTTCGGATCACTGCGTCTCTCCGGGTCCAGGTAAGCCGCCCTCCATGGAGCTCTGCTCACATTGCGTCGGGCGCTGCGTGCTTGTTGGCCTGTCCCTTCAGGGCCTGGAAGACCCCATATTTCACCACATTAAGAGAAATA